CTATGCAACGCTAAAGAATAATGCAGAATCTGCAAAACACCGCATAACGTGGATGAACTTGGAGGACATTACATTGAGTGCAATAAGTCAATCACAAAAGGACAAATATTGTATTAGTCCGTTATTGTAAAAGTTAAGGAAAGGTTTATCTATAGAAGTAAATTTTCTTTGTTGGTTACCAGAGGTGGGAGGGGAGGGGAGGGAACGCTGCTAGATAGATGGAGATAAGTACTGATTTGGGTGAAGAGAAGGGCAATGTACCAAATGTGAGTGACCAATATGGCAGCATTGTGGATGAGAAAGACATAGAGAGGTACATAGGAGACACAGACAACAAAGGGTATATGGATGGATAGATGGGTGGACAGGCTAAACGATTAGGTATGTCTACGAAATGGGGATTGTATCCAAGATCATATACAGGGTTGGCAGACAATGGTCCTATAAGTTTATGTGAATGATCAGAATTCCCAGGTATATAGTAGAGCTGACAAGGGGCAAGGTTGTGATCACTGCTTGGTCACAGCCAGCTACCCAGAGGGACCGAGTAGTTGAACCTGCGGGCTTGGGACCATAGTTGCAGGGGACATCAAGCTCAATTGGCATAACATACTATACAAAACATTGTTCCACCTCCTACTTTGGCGAGTAGCGACTGGGATCTTAAAAGCTAGCAAGCTGCCATCTAGATGCAGTGATGGTCTCTCCTCATCAAGAGCAAAGAAGAATGAAGAAAACCAGAACTCATGGAAACAATTAGTCCTGGCGACTGGTACACCATCCGATCTGCAGCCTATACAACTATGAGACCAGATGAACTGGATGGTGCCTGGCTACCACTGTCATCCACTTGGAAGGGGATCTATGTAGGAGATCCTGGATAGAGAGAGAGAACAATGTGGAACAAAACTCAAAACCATTTGGAGAAAGAAAAAAAAAAGGTGGGGACCAGGTTTGCTGGCCTGATAGAGCCTAGTGGAACCACTGAGACTATGGCCCCTAGCTGCCCTTCAGGTCTGGAATTGAACTCACATCTGTGGTTTCCAGACAAACAAAATACAGGCATGTGAGTTAAGAATTTACCTCAAGTAGATACACTCCTTGGAGAGAACAATCATGGGAGAAAGAAGGGCTGCTTATGTACAGGGAGATAGCTCAGGGGACAGGATAGTACGGAGGGATGGACACTGGGAAGAGGTAACTATGGGGAGGAAGTGGGAGGGGAGCTGTTGAATTGTGGTAAACTGGGGTCAATGACATGAGACAAAGTATATGTGACCTGCTGTATGGAAAGTGAATTTGCTCTGTAAATCTTCACCCAAATCACAAACAAAACAAAACAAAAAACCTGTCAGAGAACAGTATGCATCACTCAGCCTGCCCAGCCCGCTCCAGGCTTTCAAAGGCACCTGTCTGTGTGTTCACAGAGAGAAGGGCCGGAAGGAGAGGCCGACTGCCCACTGCGAGGCCCTCTGCGGAGGAGACAGCCTGCTCTGGGGGGACAGGAGGAGATGCAGTCACTTTACTCCCCTCAGTAAGGGTCAGTATCTGAAAATTCAGTGCCCAGGACGGTGATCACCTGTACGCCCAAGAAGAATAGAAATGATAATAATTCCTTGGTTCCTTTACAGTCACAGCTTAATGCTTGAAATTCCCAATGATGTTATACAAAGTTACAAGATTTTAAAGTTGACCAAGGGAGGCATTGGGGGGGGGGTACTCTGATAAGAAGTCAATTCCGACCCACAGCGCCCCAGAGGACAGGGTGGAACTGCCCACAGGGTCTCCAAAGCTGTCAATCTTCACGGAAGCAAAGCCCAACCACACCCACTGCCTAGAGTCCATTCCGACCCACAGTGCCCCTAGAGGACAGACTGGAACTGCCCACAGGGTCTCCAAGGCCGTCAATCTTCATGGAAGCAAAGCCCAAATCACACCCACTCTGTCAAGTCACTCACAGCGTCCCTAGAGGACAGAGTGGAACTGCCCACAGGGTCTCCAAGGCTGTCAGTCTTCACAGAAGGAAAGCCCAAACCACACCCACTGCCGTGGAGTCCATTCCGACCCACAGCGCCCCTAGAGGACAGAGTGGAACTGCCCACAGGGTCTCCAAGGCTGTCACTCTTCACAGAAGATACTGCCTTGGAAACCCCAGGAGGGGTCGCTATGAGTCAGGTCTGACAACAACAACCACCTTTACAGAAACAGACTGCAACATTCTTCTCCTGTAGAGGGGTTGGTGGATTCCAACTGCCAACTTTTGGTTAGCGGTCAAGTGTTTTCACTACTATGCCACGAGGGCTCCCTCCCACATAAATAAATCAAGGTCAAAAACTCCACATTGTCATCTCGTTAAAACCTTCCGTGAATCTAAGTGCCTACGTCTGTGGAAGAGTGACTCAAGAGCCAGACAAGCATGATCCTACGCTTACTTTATGTGTATGCATACTGCCTCATTCGAAGAAAAAAAAGTTTACATCGAAACTTGTATTTTCTTTCCTAATCTAATACTGAAGGCAGAGCCCTGGTGGTGCAGAGTTAAGTGCTCAGCTGCTAACGTCAAGGCTGGTGGTCTGAACCCACCCAGCAGCTCAAAGGGAGAGACCCTGTGATGAGAGAGGGCTGTGATCTGCTCCTGTGAAGACTGTTGTTTTGTTGTCAGGTGCCTTCAAGTCAGTTCTGACTCACAGCAACCCCATCCGGTAAACAGCGTGGACCACGCCCACCCTGCGTCCCTCCTAACTGGTGCTCTGCTTGAGCCTACTGCTGCAGCCACGGCGTCAGTCCTCTCCTCGAGCCCCTTCCTCTTTGCACTGACCCTCTACCAAGCATGGCATCCTCCTCCAGAGACTGCTCCCTCCTGACGTGTCCCAAGTACGTCAGACCAAGTCTCGTCACGCTTGTCTGTAAGGAGCATCCTGGCTATACTTCCTCCAAGACGGACTTGTTCATTCTTCTGGCAGTCCATGACAGATTCAACATTTTTCACAGACACGGTAACTCAAAGGCATTGATTCTTCTTCAGTTTGCCTTATTCATTGTCCAGCTTTCACATGCATATGAGGCGAGTAATATGGTCAGGCCCACCTTAGTGACATTTTTGCTTCTTAACACTTGAAAGAGATATTTTGCAGCTGGTCTGCCTAATGCAGTATGTCACTGAATTTCCTGAGTGCTGCTTGTATGGGTGTTGACTGTGGACCCAAATAAAATGAAATCCTTCACAACTTCACTCTCTTCTCAGTCTATCATGATGCTACTTTTTAGGCCAGTTGTGAGGATTTTTATTTTTAACTTTTTATTGTGACTTGGGTGAAAGTTTACAGAGCAAACTGGTTTTCCATTCAACAGTCCACACGCGTTTTGTTTGCGACCGTGACTGCAATCCTCCTAGTGTGATGGCGCTCCTACCACTTCCTCCCTGTGTCTGTTTCCATCCCTCCTCCTCTCCTGTCCCTTCCTGCCTTCTGAGCTGGCACCCCCCTGGTGTCACCTGTTCACCTCACAGACCTGTCTACTCTTTGGCTGAAAGCTGAGTCATGGGAGTGAGCCCAGGGCCAAACTTGAAGGGTGAGTGGGGGCCACAGTTTCGGGAGTCCTACCATTTTCTGTGAGACCAGATTT